TGGCAACTGCAGTGGGAGGAAGGACTTCTCAATTTCCTTTTGTACTTGTTGAACTTTGTACTATGTGCATTTATTACTGATTGCAAATGAGTAAAGCAATTTAAAAAATATTAAAGGCTTTTAGTTCAGAGGGTAATTTAAAAGATATTCACTGAAACATAGAGATTTAATACATCTTAGGTTGGAAATTCTCTTTCGTGTTGCTACCAGTTAAACTGAAAAAGGGTGCCTTTAGGCAAACTGAGGGCTTAAAGAAAAGTATAGTTTAATTCTTTAAAAATGACTTTCAGACCTGTGGTGATTGTGCAATAATTACACAATATAAAATGGGCAATACAGACATGGCATACTCTAATCAATACATGCAGCATTTTGGACTTCTGCTCTAAAGCTTTATTAGCTAAAAGTCAGTGTTTCAGGGAACATAAATGTTGTGTGAAGGTGAGATTATAATTGAAACATTATATTCTAGATAGCATGCAGTTTTTATTAAATTCTATCTTCCAAAGTCTAGACAATATTGTGAAATCATATGGACCTGTAAACATTGTTCTCACTTTGTAATAATTTGCAATATTGATACTGTATTTCATTTGATATCAATTTGATATTTTTGAATAATCAATTCCTTTTTGGAACTTTTGATTAATATTATAATAAAACAATGAATACTCAGTATTAATAACTTTGGAAGTTCAACATGAAACTGCTTCAGAACAGGTAAAAGCTGTCACAAAATATGGCTGCCTTTGGCCACAAAAAGTTAAAAGAAAATTTTAGACCTAACCTAAAAAACTTGTACTTGACTCTTTTTATTAAGCATATACAGTCTTTTCAAATGCCAGATATCCTCCCTGGCGTTTCCCTCAGGGTAGATGAAGAAAGAGTTAGATAATATTAACAGGGAGAATTATTTAGACCGATATTATAAATGTAGCTCTAAAATACTGAGGCCAAAATCAAAACAAGGATAGTTAATACCACTACCCAATATTACGTCAGCTTTGTGTGATCTTTTCCTCAGCCCAGCATGAAATAAATGATGAAATAACCAATGTGAAATTAGTATTACCTAATGATGTACCAAAAGATTTTATTATATTTTTCAAAGTTAAGGATGTTTTAAAGTGCTTTAACTATTAGAAATTTAAACATATATTTGGTGTATTTAGGGGTGTGTGTGTGTGTGTAGCTATATATTAAAGTTAGTAAGAAAATGTTCTCTAAAAATACTAATAAGTCTCAACAGATACATTTTAAAGCTGCCATATCAAGGTAAGTTTCAAAAGGAGTTAATACATGGCTGTTTTGACTATATTGGAAATAGTATACTTTAAACACCTATACTGTTGCAGTCTTTTGTCTGTTAACTCTGATGACAATTGATAATTGCACCTAAGATTTATAATCAGCATTTTGAGATATGCCCAGTTTCTATAAAAAAAATCTCCATTCCAAAACTATTGCTACAGTTTCTGTCCTTGATCAAAGTAAGATGATTGGAATTAATTCAGAGAAACTTGTGTGTATAAATCTTGCATTGAGTCATTACAGGAGGACCAGACTGAGCCTGGAAGGGACCTCTTGTGTATAACACTGGCTATTGAACCACTTGGATTTTCTGCATTTCTTGAATTCATAGATCAGACTAATCTCCGATACCTACATGTGATCTCAAGAAATGACTATAGGTGAAAACAGCCACCAAAGTAAGTCTATCAATTGTTAGAACACCAAAAGGTCTTGAGTTAAATAAACATGAACTTAAAAACCTGGGCTAAAGATATTTTGGACAAGTACTGATATAATGACAACTGAAAAATAATTATAAATACCTCAAAACAATTTGTCATTAATGCCATCTATTCAAAGGACAGCCACCATAGCTCTTACTTCTCTAGTGGTTTTATCGTCAGGTGATACTCACATTTTAGATTTCACAAACTGGCTAAGCACTTTTGATACACCTTCCACTCTTGGTGGTTTTCATATACCATCTCATTGAATCCTCACATTTTCCTGAGGTGGGTAGTTATTATCCTCATTTTTTACAAGCTCACCAGCTCGTTACTGTATTTTTTTCTTGTAGCTATCTTGTAGGTATGAAGTATTATCTCGTTCTCTGGTGGCATAGTGCCTAAGGCATTTGACTGCTAACCAAGAAGGCTGGCAGTTCAAACCCACCAGCCACTCCTCGGAAGAAAGACTGGGCAACCTACTTCCATAGTGATACCGCTTCGGACACCCAAGAAGGGGTTGCTAAGTCAGAATCGACTTGCCGGCAGTGAATTGTTTGGTTTGTTAATGGCTAGTAATACTGAGCATCTTTTCATGTGCTTTTGGCCATTTACATATCTTCTTTCAAGAATTATTCAAATCCTTTATCCTTCTTTTGTATTTTCATTACTGAGTCGTAAAAGTTCTTTGTAATTCTTGGTTCAAGTACCTTTTCAGATATATAGTTTACAAATTATTTTCTCTCATTTTGTGTTTTGCCTTTCACTTCCTTGATGATGTTCACTGAAGCACCAATTTTAAATTTTGATATCTGTTTTGTTTTCTTTTGTTGTGTTTGTGTTTGATGTCATATCTAAGAAATCATTGCCTAACCCAAGGTTACAAAGAGTTACTCCTTTTTCCTTCTACGAGCTTTACACTTTAAGCTCCACATTCTAATATCCCCTTTTTTTATGTGCCATTCTGACTCACAGAAATGCCTGAAGACCCTCTGCCAAACAGAATAGTATCAATCAAGAATTTATGGTGTCTCATTGGTGACTAAGGTAATGTGAACAGCTTCCCACAAAGAAGTGCTATTTTTATCACACTTTTTTTTTTTAATCTGCTTTCTGGTCACTAGTTGGAAAGGACCTTATTTCTAAACCCAGTGTGGAGCAGGTGGGCTGAGGAATTCAAATTTACCTGTAGTAGCTGAGGAGTAGTTGCACAATATGTGCTGTGTGCTGGGTAACAGACTTGTTGCTGAGCTACACAAGTGAGGTCCCCCAAGCCTGAAAGAGTGCACATACAGTTGGGGAGGCAGCGAGAAACAGGAAACAACAGGGTCGCCATACTGTGGGATTGTGTGGGGGACAGTCTCCAAGATAAGCCCTAAAGGAAAAGCATGTACAAAGCCCAGTTTAGAGAGAAACTGAGATGTTCTTAGAACAGCAGAGATCATTGTAACCTCTGGTGATCAGGGAGAGGGGTAAGCAAGCTGAAGAGCAAGAGAATTTGAGAAGCAGATGGTTTTTGTGAGAAGTTCGCCAGAAAGGTGGAAAGCATCCCAGATATTGAACAAGATGCTGTGGATACAAAGGTTAAGACTGGGCTCCTGCAGCCTGTGGCTCCCAATATAAAGACGTTCAGAATGGTGACCCTTGCCATCCCTCTCTCGTGCTGGCACCAGTTAGCATAATTTCACTTCACACTAATGTAAGACCAACTGGTTAGCATAGCCCTTTCATAGTGTGTGCCAAACCCGAATGGAAGAAAATTTAAATTTGAAACTTTTAAGGAGCAGAGAGGCTGGAAAGCAGATTATAGTTCAGAGTATCTGGATCACATATTTAAAGAGCTATTTAAAAGGTAGTTTGGATACAACTCTAGCTTAATATTGAAAGAAAAAAAAAAAAACGCGTAGGCCTGCAGGCTCTGGACCATGGTCATGGGGGACATAAAGCTCAACTGGCATAGCACGGTACAGAAAAAGATTGTTCTGCATCCTACTGTGGTGAGTAGCAACTGGGGTCTTAAAAGCTTGCAAGTGGCCATGTAAGATGCAGCAATTGGTGTCTTCTAGTCTGGAGCAAAGAAGAGTGGAGAAAATGAAAGACACATGAAAACAGTTAGTCCCAGGGACTAGTGGACCATGAGAACCTCAGCCTAATCGACCTTGAGACCAGAAGATGGTGCCCAGCTTCTACTTCCAACCACTTGAAACGGGATCAAAATTGGAAATCCTGGGTAGAGTGGGAGAAAAATGTGTAACAAAACTCAAAATTATAAAAAGGACCAGGTTTACTGGTCTGATAGACTGGTAAAACTATGGTCCCTAGCCACCCTTCAGGCCTGGAGTTTAAACTCACTCCCGTGGCTTAACTTTCAGCCAAACAATACTGGCTTGTGAGGGGAACAGTTACACCAAATAGGTAAACTTCTCGGAGCAATCAAATGTGGGAAATCAGAAAGACAGTATTTATGTGTGCAGTATTTAAGATGTGCAGGGAGAAAGCTCAGAGGGCAGGAACCCATAGGAAAGAAGGACACAGGGAAAAGGTAACCACAGGGAGGAAGTGGGGTGGGGCGGGGGGAGTGAATCTGTGTTCCAGAAGAGATTTAAGATAGCTAAACTTTTACTATGTGTTCTGACATAATTTTTAGACCTAGAAATAAGTTTTTACTAGAGCAAGTTAAAACATCATTAAGGTAAAATATTGCTTTAAGAACATAGAACATTTCTATATTTTATTAAATCACATATAATCAAGAATGTTCCAGGTATTTTCTTTTGTACTCAAAATAGGAATATTCAGATCTTACTGATATAGAGATGATTGTGGCAACATGAGGACACATAAAATTGATCCTTTTCTGATTAGCAATAAGGCTAACTTTGTACTAATACCTAGAAGCTTCACAAGTTGATAAACCCTCTCAAAAAGGTGTCACTTTCCTTAGAAAGAAGAAAAACATAAATAATGAAAACTTCTAATTGAGGGGAATATAAGAATATCACTGTATATCCATTTATCTCTTTACTACTTCCAAGGATCTTTCATGTATTTTTTGATAGTCACTTGGGAGGTAGGCAGGTTTCCATTATTCATTCCAATGAAGTATTTTTCCCATAAACAATGAAGAATGCCAAGAAAAGTTTGCTCTTGGACCTAGTATTCATGTATTCCAAGAACAAATAAAAGTAAAAAAAATACTGGTTTTCTGATTAGCTTTAGTTTCAGAAATTACATTACACATTTCTTATTTTCAAAATCCATCCTTTACAGAGAAGACAAGAAATTTCTGAAGTCTGTCTTTGGACTCTTTTGGGACTCTTGCTGACTAAGTAGCATTTTTAGTTGAGAGAAGTGTTTCTTTGTTTTGCTTATATTCTTTGAGGAAGAGAAAGTGGGTGTTGACTGTCCAGATGCAGGTGTTCTGAAAAGAGACAAAACCATGCTTAGTTATTCTAACAAATGATAATTTAATGAGTTCTTCCTACTCAGCACAGATAACTGTTACCAGAAACATTTTCTGCTTCTGTGTTAAGGCCACATATGGCCAATGAAGGTACTGGATTTCCCTCAGCAGTAATTCCCATCTTGTTAAATCTTCTCACTGAACTGGCTATATGCACATTTCAGCGGTATACTGGGCGGTTCTATCACACCTGAAAGAAAAGGCTGGAGGCAAATAAAATGTCAGCTGTGAGTTCCACTTATATCTGACATCGAGGTTCATAACAATCCGAAGCAAGGACTTTAAAAACATACTATTTCTTTTTCACAGCTGAAGCCACTGCAATTCTCAAAAACGAAGGATCTCAATCTGCACACACACGTAGGTACCATTGTATCTTCCTCACTAGAATGGGAGCCCCATTAAGGGCAGATGCGTTGTATCACTAATGGTACATTAACAGAGCTTAGAACAGTGCTAGAGAAGCACTCAATAAATGAGCAAATGAGTTGAACTGTTGAACAAATGAGTCCCCATCTGGTGTTTCTTTGTGCCTCTTTCTAGTTCATCTCTCCAACTGTGTTTCATCTCCTGAACCCTTATTTGGAGTTTGTCAGTCTGACCCCTCTTACAGCTTCCAATCTGTATGATAAAGATGAAAAGTCTTTATTCCTGCATATATCTAAGAAGCACTATGATCTAAATGGAACTAAATGAAATTGTCTGTTTCAAAGAAAAATGAGGATTACTTCTGATCTTTTTAAGCATTAAACCAAATTATCTTCTATTCACATTTAATCAATAAATTCTATGAATTCTTAGCATACTAAATATCAAAATAATTAAATCAAGAATACAGATATAACTGGATTTGGAAATTCTCACCCAGTTTTAGAAATTTCAAGTCCAATATGAGAAACTCAATATAATAAGCAGAGATAGTCCAGCCCTTGCATTATTTTGTTATTTACATTCAAGAGACTACCAGATTCAGCTTCTTTTGTAACAAAAATTTTCAAAAATTCTTTTCAGTTTCTATAGGATTGAATTTAACACTTAACTATCATAGTGAAGTATTGAGGATTATTAAAAATCAAAACATTCACCCAGTTATATAGTTAACAGTTTTTGTTAAATCCATTTTAATTAGATTTCAACAGGAATTTCTGGTAGATGAGAAAGCAAGAGCAAAGGTGTATAGCAGAAATGTACACTGGGAGTGGTTCAGTTTTGCTAGCATAGAGGACAGATTAAGGCAGTCAGTCAGGCAGATGTACAAGTGCCAAGTAACGAGGGCTAGAAAGTCATGCCTTAGTCCCTATGCTGTAGAGTGAGGTACCCAAGGCCTCACATCAGAGTTGTGCTTTAGAAAGATAATCATATGAAAGGGTTTGAAACCAGAAATAGGAAGACCCACTAGGAACTTTTTGTAGTACACCAGGGCAAAGGTGAATTAAGCATCTGAGCCAGGATAACAGCAACGGGGAGAAGAAGGAGTGAACAGATGTGAACATCATGTAAGTAGAATAGATAGAAACAACACCTACCTGTGTAAGGACCAAGGGAGTAGGAGTCCTCAAATGTATCTGCCATTTTAGGTCTGAACTACAGAAGGGCATGTTCATTCGTGGAATAAGAAACTAAGGGGAGGATGGGCAGGTTTGAGTGATTAGCTGTGAGGACAAGTTGAACTAAGTATTGGGCATACAGGGGATTAAGGTGATTAGAAAACAGTTGGGAATCGTCTGAGAGGTTAGAAATAATGATTGCACCTATAGGTCATATGCATTGAGGTGACAGGTGAAGACATGGGAGTTAATGATACTAGAGAAAAAAGTATGGATATAAAAAAAGGGCAACATGAAGCATTAATGGTTCCAAGGCTAGAACTTCACAGTATATTTAAAAACTCAGGGCCGTCGAGTCGGATCTGACTCTTACCAACCCCTCCCTGGGTTTCCAACACTCCAGAAATAGATTGCTCAACCTTCCTTCTGAGGAGTGGCTGGTGGGTTTGAACCCCCAGCCTTCTGGTTAGCAGTCACATGCCTTAGGCACTACACCACCAGAGCTCCCCACAGTATATTTAGAGAGTATATATTAAACAGAGGAGATAGAATACTCATGAGTAAACATTTGAGTAAAATTAATGAATTAAGATACCTGAAAATCAATGCAGGGCTCTTGCTTTTAGAACCAGACAGGTCATGATTTAGGTTGGCAGAACTTAGAGTCTTTCTCTCTGGTGTCTTCAGGGTGGGTTTAGTCGTGGGAGTGCTAGGTTTGCTCTTCAGGGATGATAGAAAGCTTCTACTTTTGCCGTGATGTTTAACTGTTCTGTTGCATGTTTTACAAGTAATCAGCTACCATAAAAAAAGAAGAAATACCAAGCTTATAATTTCTAATTTAATCCAATAAAACACATATTCATTGAATTCTTATACATTTAAGGACTACACCAGCTACTACAGGGGTGAGTAACGCAGAACCTGCTCTCCTGGTGCTTGTGTAATCTAGCAACAGGAATTAGACAAGACACATTTTTAGAATGATAAAGTTTTCAATAAAAAACTAATGGCTAAACATTTGTATTTAATTAAATAGATTTTTAAAGATAATCTGCTTTCTCATTGTGAAAATGGGTTTGAGGGAAAGGTAGAAGAAACTGGGATAACACCTCTGAACATCTAGAAGGATGTTCTGTGTAACAGGATAGAAAATAATGCAGTAGACATTTAACTTTTATTTTATTTTTTATTTTTTGGTAGATGAACCTCAACCCTTTTCCCAATAAAACTCAGTAAAATATTACTGAAAATTTAAGTGACCCTCTTCAAATCCATAGCAATTCTGTAAACACAGACCTTAAGTAATTTATAAAACCAATGAAACACCACATTCTTATACTTCCATCATGGGAGCTCTGGTAGCATAGTGCCTAAGGCACTTGACTGCTAACCAGAAGGCTAGCGGTTCAAACCCACCAGCCGCTCCTCGGAAGGAAGGTTGGGCAATCCTACTTCCGTAGTGATACTTGCCTCGGAAACCCAAGGAGGGGTTGCTATGAGTTGGGGGCGACTCGATGGCAAATAACAACAACAACAACATACTTCTATCATTAGCTCTAGAGGTTAACTTTCTTTTCAAGATCATTGTTCAAGAAATGGCCTACTTTCTAGCTAAAATGCCTTCCTTCCACATACCTGACTCCATACACAAGACTTAGCCCATGCCACAGCAAATTACACACTGCTTTAAACTGAGAACAACTCAGGTACATAAATGGAAAATGAAATCTGCATACATCAAAGGTCTGTGTTTAAAGCTGCCTTAACACTTTTTGGAAAGAGACTGGATATAGATGAAAATAAAGCAACAAAACAAACACACCAGTACCTTTTTAGTTACTTGATTTAAATATATTAGAATGTAAGCCTCACGAGGGTGAGAACTTGGAAGATAATGAAACTCAGCACTGCTAGGCAGATCCAGCACAACTGGACTTGAATCCATAACTTCTCTATGACCTAGCTCTCTCCTAGCCCACAACAAGTACCTGCCTTTACGTCATTCCCCTATACCACTCACTTGTGTTCCTCTCTCCTTCATAGGAGTGTCCTAGAGGTCAACAAACTTTCAGGAAATTTCTCTCATTTGAGGGAAATAACAGCTTCACTCATCTTGCAGGGATAAAATCCCTTAGGATATCATACTTCATATATGCAGTCATAGGTAACAAGTGTAGTTTACCAAGGCCAACGCAGAGCTAGGCAAAGCATGCTTGCTGGATCTTAACCAACTGCCAGTAAAAGGCCAACATGAACATACCAATGCTATTTTCAACAACTGCCAGGATTGATAACATAGCCCTTATTACCTTCCCTTTCAGAATGTTTTCCAGGTATGTGGCAGTGACTTTGAAATATACCCATCTTCATAAAGTAAGAAGGCAAATTCTACTCATTTCAGTATTCTCTTCTCCTTTAAAGTCATTTATGACAAAACCAAAAATACACTTGTGCAATGTTGGTAAACACGAGTTTTCAATCCCAATTATTACTGATTATAGTTTTGGGCCAGACATGAGCTGCCCTAATACTCAGTGCCCAGCAGTAAACAGGCACCTGAATATTGGATGCATGGTTGACATGGGATATGCAGAACATAAAATGTATCTGAAAGTAGCCTCTATACAGTAAATTGTAGATCATTTGATTTGGGTTGTTTTATTACATCTTATATCCCCAACAATCATTATTTGGAATATAACAGACTCTCAAATCTTCCGTGAACGAACAAAAGACACATTTGTTGGGCATAAACTTAAAAACACATTCTGCACAGAGGGGGAAATGACTGAAGAAATGACACTGATACTTACATATACAAGATACTTTGAAGATACTTCACCATTTGAAGAAAAGGGCTATTAACTGAGAAAATTACTTAGAGACAACTGCCATTCAGGTAAAGTCATATTTGTTAGCTCAAGAAATTTGTGAAAATAATTTACTCTCAAATCTCTGATAATTGTGTTAAAAAAACTGTGTTCGACCTGACATCTGGAACAATTTTGATAGCTCAATGTTTGATTTTAGGTAATCATGAAAAAGAAAAACTTTGCTTTTGATGAAACAGTATTAACTAGAAAGATTTTTTTATGTATAAAAAGAAAATAATGCAAATAGACTTCTGCAGATCTCTGAGTTACAATCAAGCTGATTCTTAGCCAAACTTACTTTAAGGAAAAGAAAATTCTAGTAATAATAGAACAAAAATCTTACCAATACACTTTTGGAGTCTTTGTACTTTGTCAAAATTTTTGCTTCTTTAAAACTAAGTGTATAACTTTTTGCTTCTCGATTTAGAAGTTTCTGTATTCTGGGTGTCAGTTTGGGCTTGGGTTTGAGGCGTACTCGGCAGTTATCCAACACCAGCAACTGGAAACAGTATGGACATGTTTCTTCGAAAGTGTTCTTAGCATCTAAAATTACACAAATAAACTCATGATTCAGCAAATCCCAATATATAGTCACATCAAACTTGACCGACACTGTGAAAAAGTATACTGACAGTTATTGAGCAGATATACTCCAAAAAAAAAAAAGGTTTAACCAAACTCACTGCTGTCAATTTGGATCCCACTCGTAAGTGAGCCTTCCTTGGGTTTCCAGGGCAGTATCATTATGGAAGTAGACTGCCCAATTGACCTTCTGAGGAGTGGCTGGTGGGTTTGAACCACCAGCCTTCTGGTTAGCAGTCAGATGCCTTAGGCACTGTTCTGATTACCTAGTGTCTGCCGCTCTGACAGGAATATACCACAAGTGGGATGGCCTTAACAACAGGAGTTTATTCTTACAGTCTGTATGCCACCAGAGGTCCCAGATACACTTCAGCCAACTCAAAATGTGAAAATTTACAAACAGATTAATTGGCAACAATTTACTTTGCAAAATTTACTCTCATTCATTCATTTGAGCAACATAGAGGCAATGCCTCACCAATTTAAAAAACTCATTTATCACAAAATAACAAATTACACTGTGGTATTGTTTTGAATGATTAGCACAGTTTTGTGGTTTGTGGGCTGGGCTCTGCCTGAATGTAGCCCTTGACAACAGGCTTCCCCTAGTCTTTTTTGCAACCAAAAAGCATTTGCTGACCACCTACTGTGCCACCTGTGGAGATAATATGGAAATGAACTGAGTTCCTGTCATTAAAGAACTCACATTCTAAGGGAAACACTAAGCAAATGAAGATAAACTGAAAAGGGTTAACTAATACAGTTAAGATCAAAATATCCAGGGAACTGCATGGACTAGCCAGCAACATTTTGAAGAGGCGGCTTGACAAAGGTGGTCACAGATGGGAGTTCTGGTGGTGTGATGCCTAAAGCATTTGACTGCTAACCAGGAGGCTGGCAGTTCAAACCTATGAGACACTCCTCAGAAGGAAGATTGGGCCATCTACTTCTGTAGAGATACTGCCTTGGAAACCCAAGGAGGGGTCACTATGAATCAAACCGACTTGATGGCATGAGTTGGGTTTTCTGCAGTTAATTTGGAGACTCCACTCATTGGTAAAGGGCCTTCTGGTAGAAGTATGCTGAAAGAGAGAAAGAGCATGGCTATTTAGGGAAGGGTGAGGGTCTGAAGGCAATATGCTTGGAGAAGGTGAACACTCCACCTATTTATTCATATTCAGTGAACACCTACTGGGCACCTGGTGTTAAGCAGTGCTAACTGCTGGATATAACAGCATTGCAAAACAGCACAACAAGAGCTGAGGACTATGCCCGTCCCTGCAATTTCACTCTGCCAAATGTACAACTCAGTATTTACTGGATGACTGTTGAAGCGATCTGCTTCCATAAAGATTACAGCCAAGAAAACCCTATTGGGCAGTTCAACTGCGTCACGTGGGGTCGCAACGGGTCAAAACCGATTCCAGGGCACCCAACATTATGTGCCATTGTTCTGGGTGCTGGAGATACAGAGGAGCTCTGGTGGCACAGTAGTCAGGCATTCAGCTGCTAACCAAAACGTCAGAGTTAGAACCCACTAGCCGCTCTGCTCCTTTGGAAAAAGAGGAGGAGTCTGTGTCCATAAAGATTTATATATAACCTTGGGATACCTATGGGGCCATTCTACTCTGTCCTATAAGGGTGCTTATGAGTCGGAATTGACTCAATGGCAGTGGGTTTGGAGATGAAGTAGTGAACAAAGGATAAAAATTAATGGGGACAAGAGAAATAACATTAAGTGTTAAGAGCTGAGAAGAAAAAAAAAATGGGACATAAGGAATGGCGATGGAGCTGCTTTAAACACGGTGGCCAGGTTTCATTCAATCGACATTTGCAGAGATCAAAGGAAGTGAGGAAGGAATCCAAGCAAATAATGGGACAAGAGTTGAGAGCAGAAAGAAAGGCAGCTGCAAAGCCCTCAAACAGAATAGTGAGGAGGCCTAGTGCGGCTGGAATTGAGCGAACAAAGAGGGAGCAGGTCAGAGCTAACGGGGGCCTATGATATAGGCAGGGCCTCGTAGTTCTTTTAAAGGACTTTCACGTTTACTCCGATGGTAAGCCATTTGAGAGTGCAGCAAAGAAGTGACAAGATCTAGCTTAAGTTTTGATCAACTTCAGTCTGGCTGCTGGGTTGAGAACAAATTTTAGAAGCGCATGGGTGCTGCTGCAGTAATCCACGAGACAGTAGTGGCTTGGACCAGGTTGGCGACAACAGATGTGGTGCGAAGCAGCAGCTGGGGGATTTTATGACGGAAGCGTATCAACCAGATTTTATAAATCATCCTATGCACTGTGCGGAACGGAGAGGAGCGCAGCGGCGAGAGCCTGATGCACAACAAGGACGGGGATTCTTCCTACCGTGTGACGAACTGTAGGCCCAGCTGGAAGAGAGAAAGAGACTCGTGAGGGGGCAAAAGAACGCCAAATCGCCGCTCGCCTCCCGCTTCCCCTCCCAGCCTTTTCTTACAGGAGATAGCGGGCTTGGCCTGGGCAGCTAGCTTGTAGTTTCCGCGCCGCTGCCTCAAGGTAGTGCTTCTGCCTCATCTTCGCCAGTGAGTGAAGGAGAAGCCGGAAGCAGGCTTCGCAGAGTGGCCGCCTGTGACTTAAGACCCCGGGTTCCTTTGGAAACAGCCACTGACAGCTGAGAAGTTCCGGTGTTTTCCGCAGCAGGCCTAGCGCGTGGGCGTATCTAACCAGGAGGCGGCCCTCTCACCGCCCCCGGTCCCGCCCCTCGGCCTCACCCGCCCAATCGCTTGGGCTTACCTTGCTGTCTGCCTCAGACCTTAGGTCTGGGGGGAGGGAGGGTTACCAGCTATGAATGACAAAGTCTGGCGCGGAGTGTCTTGCCAGACTGTCTTTTTACTGTTGTCCCACCAGCCACTACGCGGAAAGAAGACTGGGCAATCTACCTCCGTGGTGATACCGCCTCGGAAACCCAAGGAAGGGTCACTATGAATCAGAATTGACTCAACCACAATGAGTTTTTATTTTATTTTTGTTATCTCAGGACAATAGTTTCAGGAGTCCCCCTGAACTTCATGGCTCCAGGAAGTATGGAGTCTCACAATTTGAAATTACGTTCTGCATTTCCCCCCTTTTAGTCTGAATTCTTCTAAGGAATCTTGAATGGAAAAGTTCTGTAATGGTAGCCGGGCACTATCCAGTTCTTCTGTTCTCACAGCAAAGGAGGTAGTTGTTCATGGAGGCATTAGCCAAACATCCCATATCTTCCTGCCATTCCTGACTCTCCTTCCTCTTCTGTTCCAGATGAATGGAGACCAATTGCTGTGCCTTGGATGGCCACCTGTAAGCTTTTAAGACCCCAGGCACTACCCAGTGAACTAGCAGGAAGAACAGAAGCACTGAGCAAACGTTCTAATCAGCCAACTCACTGGGATGTACCATGAAACCATGACCCTGAATCTCCAAATCAGGAAACCAATTCCAGGAAGTTTTTGGTTGTACATAAGCTGTCTCAGGTTTTTTTGGGTTTTTTTTTGTTTTGTTTTTTTGTGTGTGTGTCATGTTGTTGTTGTTAAGTGCCGTCGAGTCGTTTCCCACTCATAGCGACCCCATGCACAGCAGAACGAAACACTGCCCAATCCCGTGCCAGCCCCACAATCCATGCTATACTTGAGCCCATCATCGCAGCCACCGTATCAATCCATCTCCCTGAAGGCCTCCCCCTCTTTCGTCGACCCTCCACCCTACCAAGCATGACATCCTTCTCCAGGGAATGGTCCCTTC